GATGTATTTTGACTCAACTTAAGTATTTAATTTCATCAAAAAAATAAGCCGGAACATTTTTTTTAACATTGGGCAACTGCCTCCAACCCCTGTTATCACTGACCAAGGAATTGAAAATATAATTTACAACTACCCGTAAGCAACAGATGAACTCATTGCTGGCTGTTTTTCCGATATTTCCTTCAATGTCACAATTCTAACCAACCAACCAACGCCTCGTCTTTCCCGCAGCTTCAAGCCCGTTCGTCACATCGTCAACCACCGCCCAGTACCCGTGCCGGTTCCGGTGCCGCACAAGGTGTACAACCCGGTACCGGTGTACCGCGAGGTGTACAGCACGGCCGTGAACCGGGTGCCGGTGCCGGTGCGTGTGCCGCGCCCGGTGCGCGTGCCCGTGCCCGTGGACGTGCCTCGGCCGGTGCCCGTCTACCGGCCCGTGGACGTGCTGAAGCCCGTGCCGGTGGAGAACCACCACCTGCTGGTCAGGAAGGTCGGGGTGCCCCTCAGCACCATCGGGGCCGGGTACGGACGCCGCTACGGATAAGCGGTGGTCAACAACGGTCAGCCGTATCGACACCGCTACGGATCAAACCACCGATCCAAACTGCTTTACGAAACACCAGTACGAAAAGGCTTGGTCCAAACTACCGTATGGATCACACTACGGATAACGAGCCGATCAGTTCCGTCGTACGGAGCCCCGCTTCTAATAGAAGGTCGGTCAGCAACGAATGGAACAGGAGAACAGGAAATAGGTCACTGAAGGTGGCAACAGCGCCCCATGTGACATGAGCCGTGTGTGAGACAATAAAGAGCATGCTTGCAAAGATGATATTTGTGTTTGGTCGATTGGACGCTATGTGCTGAGCGCGATTACACGCATGGGCATAAAAAAATGAAATGAACATAGACTCGTCAGTCGTCATTTAGTCAGAAAGGTGCCACCAATAACCAGCACAGGGCACGCATCTTCAGACATTGTCATCGATCCCGCGCCCCACTGGGGTCTGTGTATAACACGCCCTACTGGGGGGGGGGGGGCTATTCATAGCCCCCCCCCCCTCCTAACTCCGAAACTACTGGACCGATCGTCAAAATTCAAACGGCGTCTGATAGCCCCGGAAAAACTACTGTCGAGCGAAACCTAATTTCATTGACCTCGAGGTCACCGATGACGTCACAGGTCAGGTCAAAGTAAAAATTATTAGCATTTTGGCTTGTTCACATTTTGGGCTCTGGCCGCCGTCTTACAAGTCAGATCAGGCTCATTTTTGGTTTCCACACTCGTGAAGAGATGCTCTAGATACTTTGAGGGTACCAAACTTGTACTTTGATTTTCAGGTCAGGGTCAGGTCATCACAGGTCACGAAAATATTATATCATGCGTCGGTCACGTGACACATGTTTTATGGTCCATTTGGGCCATAGATTTCGAATTTGATGTCGTCTGTGTCATTTGAGGTCATTTGGAGTCGAATTTCGCTTAGGTCAGGTCACTTTCAGGTCAAAAAAGGTCAAATTTTGAAGTTTACATTTTTCAACAAAAAAGGTGTCTAATGGATGCAGTTTGAGCTCAGGAACACGATGGTGCCATTTATATTGGTGTACGATGTCAAATACGTACTGAAAAATTGATTTGAAAAATTGATAATTGTGAATTTTTTGCAATAATGCGTATAACTTGGCCATTTTTGAAGATATTTAGCTAAAACTTGCTAGAGTTAGTCAACATCATGCGTTCTGTCACATATATTCCGGTTTTTTTCGAAAAGTCAAAAACTTTTTGAAAAAAATATAAAAATATAAATTTTGGATATTATTATATAACATTTTCGAAATTTTCAAAATTTTGAAAATCCGAGATAGCAGTTTGATAGCGCGGTCAATTCTGAGTCCTTTCATGCAAAGAAATTGGATCTAGCTTAAAAACTGAGCTCTTGGGAGCGATTGCCGTGGTTCAATGTTTTGCGTCGAAATCGGACGAACATGACGTCACTCTGACGTCATTTCCGGCCGACCTATGGTACCTACGAAGTTCAAATTTTGACACAAGGTGTCAAATTGATACAGCCGAAGGTCCTGAAAGTTTGGCGTCGATCCGTCAAGCGGTTTGGAAGTTATTGCAGAAAAACGGGAGGGGGGGGCTATAAATAGCCCCCCCAGTGGGGCGCGGGTTAAAATCGTGAAATAAATTCATTATATGGAGATATTTGTTATCAAAGATATTAGGTGCAGATTTGGTGAGAATTAGGTGCATTCAGCAGATAACCCGTCGTTAAAAAGGCTATTTTGTGCCGGCATGTGTCATAAATTTAATGCATTTCATTGAGCCACTCTGGTATGAAAAAAAATCACAAACCACTTTGCGTAGGATGAGTAGCGTAATCATGGGCCCTTACAACATTAATCTGCTTTTTATTGATACCATTGTTTGCATTTATACCTCAAACCCCCTAAATACTGAGTCACCAAAGTCGCACAAGGGCGAGACCTCCGACGGGTTCACCTATACGCTGTAAATTTGGCGTTTGTAGGTAATTTGTAGATTTGGCGTTTGTAATTTGGCTGTAAACATGGAAGCCGATCGCCAGGGCGGTCACAGTCACGCCAACCCGTCCCCTGGCTGTCCGGCGTCCGTGTTATGAAAAAGGACCTGACCCGGGCCAACCCGCGCCCCGCTGGGTACCTACTGGATTTCCACACCCTGCTGGGATTTGGTTGAACACATTCCCTTTCAAAATCGGCTCAAAATCGGCCTACTGTGTGTAGCGACACGCAGTAGGCGGCTTCGAAAGAGCTTCAAAAATCATGATGGTAATACTTTGGCCAGTTTTTAGGTCAGATCAAAGGTCAATTCACCACAAGTAATCAAAAGTCAAATCTGACCGATTTCGACAATTGTCGACAAAGCTCGGGAACGAAATAACTAACAGCGTTGCGGAAAAGCGCGTACGATAGCTGTCTAAACCAACAACCTGCTGGGGCTCCTTGATTTTCATGCACTGCAAGAGGAGTGGTTTGAACACCCCTTCCTTGCACCAAATACCTTTTGCAACACATATCTGCATATTATGAATTCATGTCAGTGTTTTAATAATAAAATAACGTCTAATAATTTGCAAATTAGGTATATAAGCAACAAGTTACCCCTGGCTCATAATTACTCAGGAACACAATGAACCTAATGCGTCCAAATACGGACCAAATCTGCACCAAATGTGAGCCTAATGTGTATCAGATGTCCGTCCTGAAAACGGCTAATAATGATGACATTACATTGGTCATGTCTTAGGCCAGGCCATAGCTATTTCTACCCTATTTCTACAACTATCAACAAAGTGGCGCATAGATCAAGCAAGGATAGAGCTACAGCCCCGCGGAAAAGTGCAATCGATATTTCATTTAACCCTTTTTGGCCGTAGTCTGTCCTCAGATTTGACCTAAGCAACCAGCATCCAACATCCAGCATAAGCATAGCATCCAGACTCCAGAGGCACTGGTGGATCCAGAGGGTCATATGGGGCAAATGCCTCTCCCCACTGCAGCGCCCGAAGTCGACGCAAATTTGCAGTTTTCGAGAATAAAACGAAAACTAAGCAGCTTTTATGCATGAGGAATGAAGATTGTTTTAGACTGCACAGCAGTGCGTAAAGAATCAAAATCTGACGAGTTTTTTGAACTTGGAAAAACCTTTTTGGAGTATACCCCCGCAGCGTCCAAGACCGCCTTTCTGGATCTGCCTGTGTCCAGAGGGCAAATACTGGCAAAAGGAGCTTTTTTGCGAAAACGTTTTTTCTGCAATAACTTTTGACTTGGACCTTGCACAAGCTTACTTTTACCGGCATCGTGATCCTCTCGTTACGACGCATCAAGCAAATTATAATTTGACCTGGAAAGGTCAACTTAAAAAACTGACCTCAGGTCAAGGCCATGAATTGACCGGAAAAGGTCGTGTTGCATGTCATTTGATCTGTACGTTCGACCAAAACACATCTAAGGTGTTTTTATCGCTCTAGCATGCCTCTATCAACGTTATTAGCGAAAATAACTGACGGCTTTTGTGACCTGAGATGACCTCAGGGACATAAGGAGGGGTAATGTGGGCCATTTTCCGATTCATTTTGTCATTTTTACTTGCTACTCCTTGGTTGAGAGTGTTTTGAATGATGTCCGTTCAAAGAGGCCCGCCTTTCAATTTCCCCCATTGAATTATAAGTCGCAAAATTGACCGAACCCTGGGTCACCAACTCACCGATATCAAATTCCCGGCATAAAACTTTATAAACACTGTTGTCCTTATTAATTGCTGAAAGTTTCAAAGGATCATTCAGTCGGTATAGCTATGGCAAGCGCTGGACCGTTTTCTGAGGTGATGTTACTTGACGTGACCTGGTGGCATGAGGTTGAGAGACCCGGTTCTGAATTTTTCCAACAAGTGAAGAAAAGATTTATAGTAAACTGTGCCAAAAATAGCGGCGCTCCGCCGTTTTTTTTTTTCAAAGCCGGAGTCCCCCGCCCTCAGCACTCAGCACTCAGCAGAGCGCGGGTTAAAGCCGCGACAAAAAAGTGGCATACTATTAGCATGTTCACCAGCCGTGTCTTGTTTACTGCTGTGTACTACAGCGGCTGCGTATTGTTGTGGGCTTTTATACTCACACCAGTCAAAGATCACATCCGCCACCATAGATCATATCATTCACTCTTTGATTCGCTCTGATTTCCCGGGCGAACGCGGAAAGCTGCGCGCCACAGGAAGTGCCACGCTAAAGCACAACTCGCCGTTGGTGACCAGCCGTTTATCCCGCTGAGATTTCATCTAGACGGCTCTATCACAGCCGTCCGAACTGAGAAGAGGCCACGGCGACAAGGTGTTTTGCGAAAGGAAATCCTGCGTCTCGAGGTGGCGTTATCGCCGGAAGGGTGTCGCCAAGGTGGGAATGGACCTAGCTGTTATCTGCGTGTTCGTATAAAGACGGCGGACACCGGACGACGGCAGCTCAATCCAGCCGAGCCACCGGAGCGGGATAGTGCGATCACCCGCTCACTCCAAACTCAACATGGCAGTGCTGGTAAGAGGACAGCGGGCTAAAGGCCAGCACGCGTTTTCTTTGCTTAGGGTGAAAAACTATCAAGCTAAGCTGTATTTATCAAAATTGCATTGTATGTAGAAATATTTCGTTTTGTAACTGAGTCTACCAACTACTATTGAAGCTTAAATCGTTATGACTTCTAGCCATGTCGATGCAATGCTCTGCTGCTCAGCAAAATAGTGTCGTTCTGTGTCATACGAGACGAAAGGGTACCGTCGGGCTGTGCGCGGTTCCCTGCAATACTAGGGTATTGTTGTGTGTGACCATGGGGTGAATTAGACTACGACGATGACTTTGTTGACAGATTGTGCTCGCGGCCACCCTGGCCCTCGGTCAGGCGCTGTATCCTCCGCCCGGCGGATACAGTTACGGATACAGTCACCAGACACACCACGGATACGGACACCAGAGTTATGGGCATCCGTACCCGTACGGACACTCGTACGGACATCCGCAAAGCTACTCGTACGGACACCAGACGCATCACATCGGGTAGGTTACGGTAATGAGCTGATCCCGGGAACGCCACTGTCAGAACGTGATGGGAATAGGCCGCAATATACGGTCTAAGCAAAATATAATATATTTTTTGCACGCTTTTCCGACCTCTAATGATTCAATAGAATATATTAGATGCTATATTGGAGTTCCAAAGCGTTATTCAGTTCTAGCACTTGATAATACATACGTTCGTACACCCGTTTCATAAGCCTGCTTCCAGTTGCCCCCTCAGTGGTAAAACCGTTGAGTTTCGGACAGCCCGGACCACTTCTGACGAGATCTCTTCATTTTCAGCTACCAGCCTGTTCGTCACGTGGTCAACCACCGGCCTGTGCCCGTGCCGGTTCCGGTGCCACAGAAGGTGTACAACCCGGTACCGGTGTACCGCGAGGTGTACAGCACGGCCGTGAACCGGGTGCCGGTGCCGGTGCGTGTGCCGCGCCCGGTGCGCGTGCCCGTGCCCGTGGACATCCCGCGGCCGGTGCCGGTGCCGGTGCCGGTCAATGTGCCGCGGCCGATCCCCGTGCAGAACCACCACTTCCTGCTGCGCAAGGTGGGCGTGCCCGTGAGCGCCGTGGGCGGCGGCTACCCGGTGGCGCCCGTGGCAGCCGCTGCCGGAGGCTACGTCGGCTAGGAGCGCTGCCTCCTCGCCCCGGCCACCCTACATCTCGACCCAACGTCCGACCTCGCCGCTTCTATCACCAGAACCACATACTGAGCGGAACTTCAACTCCAATCACCGATTACCACTATGGTGCATACTCGTGTGTACAATTTGGTATGTGTTGGAATTGTTGATATTACCTCTTGTCACATTTGTTATACTAATTTGTGAATGAGGTAGGTATATAGCTATTCGCCTTGTTGATATATGTGAGAAAATACATATTCTTTTTGCCATTACATATAACTCTTACCGCCTAAACGAACGATGCTATGGACCACTACCACCGAAGGCTTCGTTGTTCACTAAAAACCCTCAGTCCAGCAATTGCAGTGTCACAATTACAGCAGCCTTACAGCAGACACATGTGTTAGACATGAATGTCAGAACCGTCACGCTCCTCGAAACGAGGAATAAAAGTGCAGAGTTGTAGTGGAAAATGATATTTCGGAGTCCAGTGCCTCCAAAGTGTGAATGAATTATTAAGCATAAAGGGTACTACAAGGGGGTGCCTTAGGCCCATTTCTAATTATTCTTTAGATACATAATTCTCCTGCAGTTCACACAGGACAAACATTTATCTATTCAAAATAATTTATATTAGGACCAAAACGCGTTTCGATTATTTCGTCATCAGTTGGTCCTTAATATATGTCAGTATGAGCTTACAAACATTTATCTGGCAAAATAAGCTGTCTGTTAACCCTCGCCCATGTAGGGGGGGGTGCAACCCCCCCCCCCTGAGGTTTTTCTTAGCTACACGCTGAACCGTTTCAGATAGCCTGCTCAAATTTTCAGTACCCTTTGGGGCATCCTTTGCGCAACTTTTGGTAAAAAAAATTGTCAAGGTCATGTCAGGTCACGGAGTTATGACGTCATAAAGGGAACAACCTCCGGCCAGATTTACGCTAAATTGGAGATTGTTTCACAATGGTATAAATGCCGACAGACCTGATACACTGATGGATTGTTTTAGAATCATAACTGGCTGATTTGACATTGGCACAATGTCCGTTGACCTTTTCAAGGTTACTTAAGGTCAAGGTCAGGTCAGTGACCTCGGTTGACCTGTAATGACTTCTTGCACTTGTATGCCTTTTCGGGGTATTTTGATGCCCTGAATTGGAATTTGCTATCCATTTCAGGCATCGTGAGTTGTTTCTTGTAGTTTATTTTGGGTCAGGGTCAGGTCAGTGACGTCACACGCCTGACGTGACCCAATGCACAAATGACCTTGCAGACTTCCGATGCTCCCAACGCATCATTTTTAGAGTTATGACATCGAAATACACACCAAACGATAGAGAATTGATCAAGGATCACGATAGTGAAGGTTTCAAGTCGATATCTCTTACCGTTTTGCCGCAATCGGCACGGAAATCTGAAAAAGTTAGATTTTCCCGAAAATTTGACATTTGACCGGTCATAAGTAGGTCAAATGTTGACCTAGGACCAAAAAATATACCACCAATCGCGAGATCTCGTTGAGAGCAATCCGTTGGTCTTTTCCGCTAAGCTCTACGACGCTCCGTTTTCAAACGCCAGGGGGGGTCGCACCAACCCCCCCCCCTGCATGGGCGAAGGTGGCAAAACACCGTTTACGGGCGAGGGTTAAGATCTGTTTGGGATAAGTTTTCAAGGTTAAGATGATCTCAAAAGTGAGAAGCATAGTGTAGTTTTACAGAGCAACCTCACTTAGATGACAGAGCGTTGACAAAGCTCAGGTGACGAATAAAGCGATCGCTCTTAACCCGCGCGGTGCTGGGGGGGGGGCGTTTTTACGCCCCCCGCTCAGGTTTTTCGCGAATATCTCAAAAACGGCGGCGCGCAGCGCCGCCGTTTTTGGTACACGTGTTCCTACATCATTTCCGCACATGTTGTGAAAATTTCAGACCTAGGCCGTTCAAGGTCAGGTCACCAGGTCACGTCAAGTGACCTTACCTCAGAAAAAGTTCAAAGGCTCGCTATAGCTACACCGACTGAACGATCACTTTGAAACTTGCAGCGATTGATATGAGTAACAGTATGTATAAAATGTATATCTCGGATTTTTGATATCTGTGACCTAAGGTCAGGTCAATTTTGCGACCTCTCCATTATAAGTCAATGGGAGAAAATTGAAATGCGCCTCTTTTGGACGAATATCGTTCAAAACGCTCTCAAACATCGGTTCATAGGTAAACATGACACACTGAATAGGAAAAATGCACCAGTGACCCCTCTGTGTGCCCCTGAGGTCATCTTAGGTCATGATTGGTCGCCAGCAGTTTTTTGGCTATAACTTTTGATAGAGACGTGCTAGAGCGGTGAAAACACGTCAGATGTGTTCAGCTCGACGATACGGATCGACTGATATGCAACATGACCCTTTTCGGTCAGGTCATGACCTTGACCTGAGGTCAAATTTTCAAAATGACCTTTCAAGGTCAACGAATAGTTCATTCGACGCGTCTCGACGAGAGGAACACGATGCTGGCAAAAGTAATGTCATGGCGCTTATGAGTCAAAAGTTATTGACGAAAAAACGTTTTTCGTAAAAACGGCTATTTTTGGAGTTTTTGCCCTCTGGAGGCTAAACCGTTGACCTGCGGTCAAATCTGAGAACATTACTCAGAAAGGTCTGTAAAAGGGCTATCGAATGCGCTTTTCCGCGGCGCTGTAGCTTTATCCGTTCCCGAGATAGCCGTTGGCAGTTTCCAAAATGTTGAAATAGTCAACATTTTACCTTTGGTGACCTCTAGTGACCTGACCTTTGACCTGACCCAAAAAATGACCGAAGTGTTTTCGTCCTTATTTTTGACGCTCTTTCGATTGCCGCTTACCGCGTGTCGCTACGTGGCCCAGGAGCCGAGTTAGACGGGGGGGCGTGAAAACGCCCCCCCCCCCCCAGCACTCGGCGGAAAGTTCAGGCCACCAGCACGGCGCGGGTTAACCCTATTCCTGGCGGGGGGGGCCTCAGGAGCCCCCCCCCCCTGAGGTTTTTTGGTTATTTCTCCCAAACGCGTTGAGCTAGGAAGCTCAAATTTTCTGACTTTTCCTAAAAGGCTTCTACGCAACATGTCTGAAAATTTTGAGTTGATCTGACCTCAGGTCAGGTCACCAGAGGCGGTTTGGTGACCCTACCTCAGAAAAGTTTGCAATCACGCCAGAGCTAGAGTTTTTGACCGATCAATTTCTTCTCTTCAGGGTTTAGTTAGGGTACCAGTATGTGCAATTTGTATATCTCGGAATTTTGATATCGGTGACCTAAGGTCAGGTCAATTTCGCGACCTCCCCATTATAAGTCAATGGGGGAAAAATCAACTCCCTGTTTTTACCACTAAAACGGGTCGGAATGGCCCCATATACCATACATGACTTCATATACGATCAACCTTCACTACCTTGAGGTCTGTTTTGCTGTTGGGCGGCTGTGAGGTCATGTGACGTCATCAAAGGTCACCAAAGGTTTTTGGCCAATAACTCCGTACAGGAACAAGATACAGACGCGTGGATGGTCTCATTGTGTTCAGCTCGTCAAGACGCATCGAATGATATACATGATGACCTCGAGGTCACGTGACCTGAGGTCAATCTTTGACCTTGACCTTTCGAGATCAACATATATATCATTCGATGCGGATTGACGAGAGGATCACGATGATGCCCTTAGTTTGTTCCTATCTTGACTAATTCGAAAGTTATTCGAGAAAAACTCTCTCCATATCTAGCGCCGCCATTTTGACTTTTTCGACCCCTGTGACGTCATCTTTGACCTGACCTGAAAATGACCTTAGTAAAAATTGTAGATCTTGGCCGTGCGTATCCGATGCCGTTTACCGCTTGTCGCTATCTTGCTTCGTTCTCGAGATCTCAGGGGGGGGGGGGGCCGAATCGCCCCCCCCCCCCCCCCCCCCCCCCGCCAGTTTCTTGTCCCGGCGGAGCCCGCCAGGAATAGGGTTAAATGTAAATACAATACAATACAATACAATACAAAGCAAACAATAACGATAACTTTCCTGCTACGAAGCTGTTTAAGCATCAATAAGGCTTTTACCCGATCAGCAGTATATCAGCAACATAGCATATTATCTAAATAGTGCAGACGTTAACATTTTTAAATAATTTTAGAACAGAAATCAAGCAGATATGGTTGAGAAAAGGACACATAATTTACAATACCTACCTACACAATACACATGCATACAGAATCCAGTTATTGCGATGTTCAATGACATCAACGCTCCAGCAGTAAATCGAGACACCGTCCGCAAAATGACCGCAAAATGATTTATTTAACTGAGTGAATATAGATGTTGATAGGCTTGTTAGTAGTCCATATTCATAACAGCGACGTTTCTGCATACTTCGCGGCCAAACAAAACAAATTATCATAGTTAGAAAATAAACGTCATAATGAAAACGGTGAAAAATTACTATTTTCATAAAACTTCTGAGATAGGTACTTACATTGCGTTTCTTAAAACTATCGAGGATTAAGAGTAAAGAAGTCTATATACAATATACATATAATACCAGATATCAAGGCTAAGGTCAAGTCGAGTCAGGACGCAGCCTAACTTCCCAGCTCGCCTGTGACACAACTGCTCTGCCTCTGGTCATGACCTTTAGATAGGAAACAGAAGAGGAAGTTGATAAATCTTATCAACGGAAAAACATAATTCCGGGTAAACACAGGAAGATTTGAGTCAATAGTATACTATGAAAGAAACAAAGCGTCTTGCTTATCTGGCGCAGGAAGTTTTACACGTTCAATCTCAGGCTGTTTTATCTCTTGCGGGTCGCTGGCAGACTTTTCCGCCGTTTTGATAGCTTAACTTTATCGCTGATTTCAGCTGCCTTTTGATAGAAGCAATGAACAAAAACATGAATACTTTCAGACCTAAGGGAAGCTATAAGATTTCGCTCCATACAAACGTGTGCAATGACACTTCACTCATTCATGCATTCACTCTTGCGTTCATTTAGGCTCATTTATGCAAGGTTCTAAATTTTGTCACCTGTCTTACGTCCTAAACGATGGACAGGAAACAAAGAAAGCAAATGAACATAGCCAGCTGGTGTATGAAGGCCGATTTGTCGTTCGAAAATCAAAAGGATGATCAGCTCACCTAATATTCTCCATGAATGGGTGAATAATTGAAATGCGAAGATGTTTTTTTTTCAGCCTAAACATATGCAGTACCTACATGCACATACCTACAGATAACTGGGCATGTGCAATCATGAAGTGTGTTCATTAGAACCTGCGTAATGCTGAGGTCTCAAGCTGAACGCGGCATTTTACTCCTTTCTGCTAATACCAGAACGTGTGATCACAGCGAGATGAAGCAGGCAATAAGTAAAAACTTTCAACAATGATCTAGGATCTCCAAAACCTTGCTAATGTAGTCTGCCAGTCAAGAGAAAGTCAGGTCAAAAATCAAAACTATAAGAGTTTCAACATTGTAAGCTTAGAAGCCAAAGCCACGAAGAGTAACTCGACGGATTTCAGTCGGAATGCGTATTACTATGAAGAGACCGAAACGCAGGTGAGTCTTTATACAAAGGTCGGAATAAAGGTTATGTCGGGTCTCAAAAAGGTCAGGGTAAATTCCAGGTCAAGATCGCACTAAGGTCAGGCCAAAAAAGTATTTATTCAAAGATTTTTTTTCAAATTTTAGGTTGCTATTCATGTTTGGCAGGCATGTTGTTTTCAGGGCGAGATAAATGTTTCATTTTTGTACCTGATCTGGATAAAGTTATCATCTTTGAAAATTAAAAGAGTGATTCTGAAATGTAAATGGACCATTTCAGTAAACAAACTTGACAGGATTCGTGATCAAACTTTCGCATGAGCAATAAGCAGTGTGCATAACATCAGTAAATTTATGTTTATAGTATCGGTGCCTTGATAAGCCCTAAAAAAAAACATTCTAGTTTTATTGGAAATGTTTCAATGCCATAAGTTAGAAAATGCGTTTCCTTATATTTCATGGGTTATAAATATGATGCAACTATTATTTTGCATACTGATTTCAATAAATAAAAAACAGCTAAAACAAATGTGAAAAGCATTTTTTCCATGCGGATGATCCATTGCCAGCGTGAAACGCGATGGATTCATATAATGCACATGTTGTCCAAAGCTAAAATACATTTCCGCATTCCCGATATCAAGGTCGTGTAAAGAGGAATCCTGGGACTGTCGGCAGACTTCTAGATCGGACTGCGTTGCAATAGGGTGTGGACTGTGGACGAGGTCAGGCTACAACGGGCTTCGATCGGCGCATCGGCCGGACCGGACAAGCCGTGTCTCACTGAGACAGCTGACTGTGAGGCAGGGGCGCCGCCACGGATTTTTGACTGGGGGGGACGGACTGACCGACTGAAAACCCAATAGCAGACATTCTTACCGTGGCTTTTTCAGTCGGATGCATTCAACGTTTAAAGCAAATATGCCACTTTTAACATAGGGTTTTGAACTGAAGTAACAGTTTTATAGCTTGAGCTGAGACGAGAACAAATCAGGAGCTTTTATGGCCCAACGATCACCCTAGCCAAATATATCGGTATCGATTTTAGGTTTGAAGACTAAAGTCATTCCCATAGATATTACACTTTGTCATTCTCTTACCGAGGAATCCATTCCCTTACGGAAAAATGCTAGCCAATCAGCATTCAGCTGGTTTGAACTACGTACTATGCTTGGTAGGTATTTCCTTAAAGTAATGGCTATAGACCGCATTCCCACCGAGTACCTACCTATATACACATCTGATGTCCGATTCAGTTTGACACGGCAAAGCCTCGTGTTCTATCACGGTATGATTGCTGATGTATGCCACTAATACGATCGATAATGCATATTGCATAGGTAATGCATATTGCATACCCGCGTGGGGGAGGGGACGTTGTATAGTCACAAATCTCTCTTTTTGGTTTGTGCACGAATCGGCGCGAAGCGCCGCGAAAATTGGCAAAAAAAAAACATTAGGCAAAACTGCTCCAAAATACGAATTTTGCAGCCCGTGTAACAAGCTTGATACCAGAAAAACTTAGGTCAGGAAAACCAAGTTAAGTAGTCAAGTCGCCTCAAAGTTTTGTGGTCCTGTCGACCGTATAGCTTATTTCTTAGAAGCTGGAAATTTAGTGTAGCGTGACTGCAGAAGTGTGGGGTCGGAGCCGGAATCAGTCGGAGTTGACTGTTTTGGCCAGTTTTGGCCAGAGTCGGAGTTGAAGTCTTCGAAAATGTTCGGATTTTGACTTCGAGGTCGGATTGGTGTAAAGTCATGCTCTTGGCTGGTTAGACGAAATATATTAGGCCCGTGTTCAGCCAGTCGTGTTATACGACACACGTTGATCACGATATCAAAAATCGGCAGTTCCGCGATGACAGGTCGGATAAGAGCTGGAGGTTTTGATGGCCGAAGTGGCAGGGGTCAGACCAATGCCTGTAGGCCCACACCCCATATACTGAGTAACTCTAAACCTCCTGGACCCTCTCAGATTCGGCACCGGCCGTTCCATCTCTTCCATCCTCATGACAGTCAAATCCTTCTCCTCCACGCCGCAACCCCCTGCTCCGGGCTGGACGGGCAACTCTATCCCATGCGGGAATGGCTCCACTGGAGCTATAGTCCTTTGCCGGGTGCAGTGAGTGCCAGTGGGCTGGGCTGCCTGTTCAATTGGTCGGGTTCATCCCAAGTGGCTCACTGGGGTGGCTGCCCCGACCAATGTCTCCCACTAATTCTTTCATACTTGCGGCTCTGAAATGGTCTCATTGGACCGAAGGGCCTAATCAAATTTCGAGTAGGATAACAACCAGTAAAACGCCTTTTGGGGCGACCAACGGAGCGAGCGAGAGGGTGGGATGGGCCTTGCACGTGCGAAATTGCGAGGGGATACCTCCAACAACTTGTGCACTGCACCCTTCTCTAACCGGTCCCTAACGATGTGCCAAATTTGAGCGCAATCGGCCGAGCCGTTCTCGAGATCTGGAAGCGGCACCCTGCACGTGCGCACGTGCAAAATGGGTCCCAAATGACTTTTGCACGGCACCTTACTAACCGGTCCCTAACCATGTATCAGATTTCAGGACAATCGGTTCAGCCGTTCTCGAGATCTGGAATCGACCCCTGCATGTGCGCACGTGCAGCAGCACCCCAACTGTGGCACATGGATATGCATTGTCTAGTGGGTATACCTACCTACATGCCAAGTTTCAGCGCAATCGGCCCAGTAGTTGCCGAGATATTGAAATTGTTACAAAACTGACACCTCTTCGTTTTTCACGTGGCGCGTGCATATGTATGGGGTCACTCACATGCATCGGGAATATTCCGATGCTTGTTAGAAGGAATGAATCTAGTGCTACCCTACAAAAATTACCGCATGTAAATCGGTCAAGTGGTTGCTGAGATATAAGCCTAGCAAAAGCGTGACCACGGCATACTCAGAAATTTCCGTTAACCTACGAAAGACTACGCTCGCTTCGCTCGCTCCGTAATGAGTTTGGGGGGGACGTCCCCCTTCCATTCTGAGAGTGGGGGGGACGCGTCCCCCCCGTCCCCCCCGGTGGCGGCGCCCATGCTGTGAGGTAACGCCAGCTCTTTGCAGACGTCTGAGGCCCAGGGCTGGTAAAAAAGTAAATTGCGTCCCTCTCAGTCAAGGGTCGACTGCGACGTGCTTTTGCCTCGTTATTGTACAGACGTTGATTTTCATTCGGCTTGCGGTGTATTCGATATCATATGGTGTACCATTCACATGCGCTCTGGACACATCACAAGCAGACGAGGACACAGAAAAACACAGAAAATAAAATGGCGTAGATAAGTGCTCAGCATCGATACAGTAAAACGACAAGTAAGCCAGCACAGCTGTCTTAACTTGCAACACGTAAAGTGAAACAAACAACACAAAGAGAATGCGAATCAACGCATTAACTTCAAAGAACATGCCCTCTCTCAAAGGCGATCGACGCAGGACAAACTTCATTAATCCAGGACTCAACTCTCTGTCGCTTACAGGGCGAGCATCCACACACGCACACAAGCTCACGATAACTTCAGACTTTGGTCTCTTGCCATGTATTCGATCGGCCGACACGGCAGCTGCCCAGCTGTCACAGCAGCTGAACTGGGCAGCTGCCCAGCTGTCACAGCAGTGCAGCTGGCCATCTAGCAACCTTCCTAGCCGACGTAGCCTCCGGCAGCGGCTGCCACGGGCGCCACCGGGTAGCCGCCGCCCACGGCGCTCACGGGCACGCCCACCTTGCGCAGCAGGAAGTGGTGGTTCTGCACGGGGATCGGCCGCGGCACATTGACCGGCACCGGCACCGGCACCGGCCGCGGGATGTCCACGGGCACGGGCACGCGCACCGGGCGCGGCACACGCACCGGCACCGGCACCCGGTTCACGGCCGTGCTGTACACCTCGCGGTACACCGGCACCGGGTTGTACACCTTCTGCGGTACGGGTACCGGCACGGGCACAGGCCGGTGCTTTACGATCGTCTTCACCGGCTGGTAGCTGCAAACGGCGAGAGGCTCAAGTGAGTGAGAATTTCAAGCTACGAGTGAGACAATTGAGTGACAGAATCTCGCATTGAGAAAGCTTTATAGGGAGAGCTTGGTGAACGATTATTCTTGCTGATAGAATTCCTTCACATGAGAGCAGCAATTCCAGTAGAAAAAAAAGAAAACAAGTTGGCTTTTCAAAACAAACTATGAACTCAAGACTTTAAAGTCGTGTACTAACATGTAAATGAAAGAGTGACGCTGCGCAGATGCAGTAGTAAGAAACTGACCTGTAGTGATGGGTCTGGTACTCATACGGGTAGTTGTAGCCGTAGTGCTGTTTGTAGCCGTACGGGTACTTGTAGCCCTGATAGTAGCTGCTCGGGTACGAGTACGAGTGGGAGTAGGAGTGGGGAATATGAGTGGTGCCGTACGAATATCCGTACGAATGACCGTGCGTAGAGCCATGAGAATAGGCGTACGATGTGGCCGGAGTGTACGGGTACGGCTTAGGGTAGTACGGGTACGGCTTGGGGTAGTACTGGGGGTACGGCTTTGGGTAGTAGGGGTATGGTTTAGGGTAGGGGTAGGGGTAGGTGGTGGGCGGGTATAGGGCGTGGGCCGCCGTGGCAGCGGCCAATACGGTGAACACAGCCTGCCGGAGGTGGAAGGGGAGCGTTAGTCACGGGTAAGACTCAAAACTGTAATTTTTTGCAACATGTCTTATAATTTATCTGAGCCTCTGCAGGTCAACCAGAAGACGGTGACTGCTGCATTAGCTTTCCGGAAATTTTATGTGCTACGGTCTGTTGAAAAAAAGCTTCACACTAAAACGAAATTAGGGAAAACAATTTTATTCATGCTGAATTTTAACGTTTTGCCCTCAGTAAAACCGTAGTACGAATAGCTGTAATTACGTTATACGCATGCTAACCTCTCAGCACCATAAAACGCTATATGTACTCTAGTCGACGTAAAAGCAACCTCTTTAGTCTTTAGTTTACGTACCAGAAGTTTCATGTCGGCGACTGGTGGCTGGCCGTGCCGGCTGCTGTCGAGGCGGACACTCTGCGCTGCCGACTGCCGGCATCCCCGCTCTATATACCCGCGCGTGAGCACGTGCGGCGGATACCGGCCCACCGGCCTCAGTTTCCCTTCCAGTACCTACCCGGGGCCCGCACCCCGCCGCGCCTATCTCCGCAACCATCAGCCGGCGGCGACGGAAATATGGCCAAGTTATCTGCGCTAATTGTAGATAAAACGGCGCCATTCGCGTCTGATTTGTTTGTAGGTAAATACTTGTAACGGGGCGGAAACGCTTTATCCTCCCGTAAAGAACCTATGTGGATAAAAATGTGTCACGGAGTTTTCCTTCAAGTTATCTCAGCTTGCTTCTTGCTTCAACCACCAGTCTTTTTGCCAGATTTTCATAAGCACCATCTTTATCTGGGCTCATCCGGGCACATCAATCTTGCTATTTGTTTTGCGCTGATAGACCTTTCGCTTTTGGCGACTCACTCACGCCATCAACACTCACGCCATCACTCACGCCAGCAACCACTCACGCCATCAACCATATATATTCATAAAAGTCACAAACAGGCCAAATAGCCAAATTACAGGCGCAGTGAAGAAGTCTATGCCAGGGATGTAAATGGAAAACGTTAAGGTCAAAAAGGTATTTCTTTCGTTTTAGAGAAAAGAAATCAACAATCAGAAGTGCTTTGCTTTGATTGTACTTAGTACTTCAACTTACGGTATATTTTATTCAACTTTTTCAACTTTTATTCTTTTTCAACATTCAACTTTTAGTTGGCACTTATTTATCGCGAGCGTCTCTCCACACGAGCCTTTGTTTGTCCCTTCTCCCGTTTCGCCGCGACTTGTGGTTCTCGAGTTATCGGCTTGGGGCGTAAAGCGCCCTCCCCCTCCCACCCCCACCCAGCAAATGGTGGTTCATGGCGAAATACCTCAGCAACTTCTGGTAAATGCAGGCGATATGCCTCAGTCAAAAGTACTCGTAAATCAGTTTTTAAAGTATGGGGCATAACTCAAAAATCAAAACTCAATAACTGTGTCACCTAACTTCAAAGTTCAAAGTTTTAAATTGCAAACACATGTCTCTTATGGGTATTTACGTTTTCATCCTTATCACGTTTTAAATATTTTGCATAGTTCTTGTACAGGATTGCCGCCATGCAGAGGCACTGCCTGGTGTCTGGTGTTTTTGATTTCCTAGCTTTACCTATGACGAAAAAGTTCCCAAACTTCAAACCTCCCAGACAAGTTCCCGATATAGCAGCACAAGCATGGGTGGAGAATTGTTTTCAAAGTTGGTATGGCGCAAGTTGCTTGAAAAAATGCTTAATTGTAATAGCAGAAACGTTGACACATAAGGAAAATCTGGGTACATAGGTATAACAGTGCACTTTTTGTACATTACATGACGGTTCCATATAACGTATATATCAACTTTGAGATGAAATAGTGTAATTGACACCGAACAAATTATTAAAACGCATCGAGATGCAACCTTAATTAAACCAAGTATGCAGTGGATTACTTGTCTTGTTCCCTGAAACTCCTTGTTCATGATACAAAGCATTTTTACCTCATATTTTATATTTTTATAAGCTGTAATCCTTAAATTTCATAGTTTTTACCCTAAAAGTTGGTATGGCATTGCCATACCATTTTTTAAATTGGTGTGGCGCATGCCATACCTGCCATACCACATTCTCCACCCATGAGCACAAGATATACATTTTGTACATTCTGCCGCCAGTGGCGTTGGACCTAAGTTTTGATTTTCAATAGTTCCTGCACGGTGCACAGATTAGGTGAGGTTTCCGGTCCATTATAGGCTAATCGCGGATAACCCACCGTGGTACGGCTGGGGGCGGGGTGGGGGGTGGGGGGAGAACCTAACGGCACTCTGGGAGAACAGCCGCCGTCAAACCGGAGGGGTTCCCTCGCGGCACCTCAGAGGGTCGCTAATTGTCCGATCAGAGGGACCGGGGGTGCGGGGGTGGGGGACCGGGGACACCTGGGATGGGGCGCAGAGGGCAGCCCCCTGAGACAGAGGATGGGTCGCGGGTGACCGCCGGAGACCGAGGATTAGCTGACCCGGATCATATGGCGCGGTAATTGCTGACAGGAGTGGACCTGCGCGGTCCTGGGCGGACGGCGAGAGGACCGGCCGGCCAGATGGTCCTCTGTGGTCTATATGAGAGAGAGTCTGAGCCAGGTCTGACACAGAGGTCTGCAGTTTCCGGGGTCTGATCTGATAGGCCCTATGGGGTCTGTGGTCTGGTGTCTGGCAGACCTTCTGTGATCTCTGGGGTCTGACAGACCTTCTTGGTCTCCGTGGTCTGGCGAACCAGAACCCCTACAAGCCGGGTCTCACTCGGTATACCCCTGGAAGGCAGGGTGGCAAGGGGGCCGTGTGGCGTGATTGGGCTGTGGATAAGTGTCTCTGAGGAAACTTTGTCAACGTTATCGACAGTTATTGCCTGTCACGTTGGCGGCATGTGTTGGGCTACCAGACAGTTTTCTATGACAGATGAATACTATGTGGTCACTGTGACCCAGGAAGAAAAGAAATGCAGACAGTCTCACCCTAATCTAGAGTTTAACTTTTCTCTTCATAATCCCTTGGAGAAGTCGAATAGTGTCGACAGTCGATTTATTTACCGCAATAGCTTTCAGACTAGGCTCTGATCGTCCACCTACATCTATTGGAAAAATGGGCATATGAAGAAACGCATGTAGGTAGGTGATAACTGCCATACAGTCGGATGGCAATATCGGCATTCATCTTCGTCGCTGCTTTCTTTCAGTGTTCAAACTCCAAACATTGCTAAAAGGTAAGATAAAGACCATTAGACCAGTAAAGACCATTCAAGGCCATAATTCTTGGAAGGCAGCCGGATCCTTTGATTTATCTTAGTAGGTATCACTACATCAGGTGGGCTAACATATGTAGGACGTAGGTGCAGTAAAATATTGAGGGTCTTGGGGATTTAAGAAGTAGGGGAGAGTGGGGTAATTTGGCCGGTGGTGTAAATTGGCCGCCCCCACCTGTACGCAGTCTAATAAAAGTGAGTGAAATAGCTCTAGTCTCTATTCATTTGTCATGGGTAGAAATAACTGGAGGACAAATGTCAAAACTTTGCCCCTCGTAGTTTTATTCAAAATTAATAAAACGTTAATTTCATTAGAAAATGGTTACTTTTACTTCTGTTTACAAAGTTGCATAACATGTAGTATTTGGGCTAAAAACGAATTAAGACATTATAGCGCCATTCTTGGGGATGTTCAGCGGTTCCAAAAGCAATTTTATCTAATTCCGTATAGCCGTGATGACTTTATAGACAAAAATTTTCAGAATGACAATATGGGGTAATTTGGCCGGGACTAGCGGGGCAACTTGGCCGGTGCGCTCATAGTCTATATGCTGGGACGGCCGAGTTTTCATGTTCAATTGTACCATAAATGACATGATTCATGACCAACTTTGACTACTTTGATGCCTTACTTCCAATTGGTCAACTTTAAGAGCATGTGACGTCATCAAAGGTTACCAAACGTTTTTTGCTAATAAATCCTTACATAAAAATGGTGCAGCCGCACAAATGGTCTCATTCTGTTCAGCTCGTCAAGGCGCATCGAATGATATGCATGATGACCTTGAAATCACGTGACCTTGAGGTCAAGCGACCATATGCAACGTGACCTGAGGTCAACCTTTGACCTTGACTTCTCAAGGTCAACACATATATCTTTCGATGCGGACTGACGAGGGAATTACGATGGTACTCGAAGTTTTGGCCTAGCTTGATTACTTCAAAAGTTATTCGTAAAAAACTGTATTCGCATCTAGAGCCGCTAATTTGGCTATTTTGACCCCTGTGACCCCTGAGTCAACCTCCAAAATGCGGCAAATGCGTCATAGGACACACGTCATTGCTGAATCTGAAGCTGACTCGCAATATAACAGAAAATCCCGACCGCAAATTAACACCGGCCAAATTGCCCCTCACCCCCGGCCAAATAACCCCGCTAGTGGGGCAATTTGGCCGCCTTGCAGACCTTTGTAATACGTCACAATTTCAATATAAGTAATTACTCTATCATTTCAAGTTCACTGTCCAGTAAAGTAAAATGAATACGACACCTGCCAGCGTTGAGAAAATGCAGAAATGTGTCGTCAATTTTAATTTATATCGTTTTCTAAAAAAAGCGGCCAAATTACCCCACTCTCCCCTATCTTATCTTACTTTGTTTGTTTTGTTGGGTTAGGCCCTTTCGGTCCATTGGGACCATTTCAGATCCGGGAGGATATTAGGATATAGGGGGAGACATTGGTCTGGGCAGGCACCCTAGTGAGTCGCCAGGGCTGAGCCCGTCCAGAGGACAGGCCACCCAGCCCCAAGGCACTCACTGCACCCGGCTACGGGGTGCGCTCCCTCGGGAGCAGCGGTGCCGCGGCCCGCATGAGATAAAGTTGCCTGTCCAGCCCGGAGGGCGGTTGCGGCGTGGAGGAGAAGGATTTATTTATGTTTCCTGAGGATAGAAGCACGGAACGGTGTCTTATCTTATTTGTTTGTTTGTTTTGTTGGGTTAGGCCCTTTCGGTCCAATTAGACCATTTCAGAGACGGAAGGATGATAGGAATTAGGGGGAGACATTGGTCTGGGCAGGCACCCTAGTGAGTCACCGGGGCTGAGCCCATCCCGAAGGATAGGCCGACCAGCCCCAAGGTACTCACTGCACCCGGCTACGGGGTGCGCTCCCTCGGGAGCAGCGGTGCCGCTCCAAGGGAGCAGCCCGCATGAGTTAACCCTCGCCGGCCGAGGGGGGGGGGGGCGGGTGCCGCCCCCCCCCCATAGGGTTTTTTCGCGATAGCTCCGAACACGCTGGCGATAGAGAGCTGAAACTTGGCATACCTGACCTTTGATCCAAGCCGCATCTTTTGACACCAACCGCATTTTTGGGTCAGGTCAGGTCACTGACCTATGACGTCATAAGTGAACCTCTGCACGGTCTTCAGATGTCGCAACTTCGCAACGCCCTCACTGCCAGAGGAGATGTCACAGGGAAATGAAACTTGCAGGATCTAGTATCCATTATGAGTCTCACAACTTGTATATCTCGGATTTTCCTAAAGGTCATATGAGGTCAGGTCATTTTCGTGACCTCACCATTATAAGTCAATGGGGAAAAATTCAAACTGCTATTCTGGCGCCGGGAACGATCTCCAACTATCTCAAGCACACAGAATCGTGATTTTATGCACTCCTTGCAAGGTTAGATGCGTCACTTTTGCAATGTTGACCTTGCGTGACGTCATTTATGACGTCATCAAGGTCATATTAGTTTTTCGTCAATAACTCTTGATCAAATTGAGCTAGCGAGTCGGGAAAGCCACCAATGGACTCAGGAAGACCTGCCGAATCGAATGATATGCGACATGACCCCTTTCGACCAACTTCGTGACCTGGGGGTGCTGACCTGACCTTGACCTGAGGTCAACACCCCAAGTTGACCTGACCCGGACAAAAAGTATATCATTCGACGCGCCTGAGCGAGACGAACACGATGCTGCCAAAATCGGCGCTCTGCGGCCGTTTTTTGCGAAGTTATTCACCAAAAACTGAACCGTACCTTGGGGCACTTGACCTGACCTCAGAGGTCACCGGTTGACCTAGGACCTTAAAATCGGGTACCAATCTCTGCGTCTCGTAACGGCGCACACGCTCGTTTTTTCCGCGACGCGCTAGCTCCACCAGGGGCGAAACAGCGAGGGGGGGTCGTACCCGCCCCCCCCCCCCTCGGCCGGCGCGTATGTAGAAAACCAATAGGTCCGGCGAGGGTTAAAGTTGCCTGTCCAGCCCGGAGGGGGGCTGCGGCATGGAGGAGAAGCCTGCGCTATCTCTTCCATCTTCTCATAAGCATCAAAATATTCCTCAAATGTAGAATATTTATTTTCACGATTTAACATTGGCCCTGAACACATGTTTGGACAGAGTACAACATTACAAAACGAGACCCCTAGTCGGTCCGCTGTCACGTGATCGCAGTATTTAGTAGCAAAGGCAGCCACCACACCAGTCGAGTCAGTGGCGGCGACAGGAGCGCCACTGCGGCTGACCGTCGAACCTCTAGTTTCCACTGCAGCTGGTAGGTGGCAGCTGCTGGTCCCAGTTTTGTTAGCCTGCAATCAACACGGTCGGTTAGTTCAGTGTGTCGGATACGGAAAACACACCGAGGGGGAGGGGCGGCCTTGTCCACGGAGAAGTTGGGCATGGTCCGGAAATTGGAGTCCCCGCTCCCTCGGGCGGTAGTCGCCGAAGCGAATGGAGGAAAGTGATATCGGCTCAGCGGAAAATAGCTCGCTGGGAAGCCCATTTCCCTCAAAAACCACAATTTTTATACCAACACCATATGATGCATATATGTCAAATTTGTTCTGAGCATAGCCCAGCCTTACAATGACGAAAACAAACTATTGCACATGAGATAAAAAACGAGACATGAGCTAGCGGTTCATTGCAAATCAACCAATCAACAGTGAGCTGCTGGTCCCAGGCCCACTCCCGAGGTCTCAACTCTGACTTCTTATGCAGTGTTTCCCTGCCCCTGGACCTTGATTTTCCCATGTATTCCATACCACCTGAACCCTGCCCTGGTAATCGACCGCGGACCGCCTGACCCCTGTTTTCAGACCCGAACTGTCGGGTCCTTTGATCCGGTCCCTGTCCAAGCCGTACTTCTAAACCCCCGGCCCAGGCCTCCTCTCGCACCTGAGTGTGTGGTTGACCCCGGGCCGTAGCACCACCTGCCGGAGGCCCTGACCCACGCAGAACACATCCACCAGCTCATCCAGGCCGTGAACATCACGAGCCAGTGACGTCACACTGACGTTCAGCTGACTGCAGCGTGCTCCGCCGCCGGCCGCACCTGTGACGTCAGAGCCAAGTGACGTCACGCCAGGGCGGATATCGTCAGATGGTCGCACAATATATTGAAGCTTTTGAAGGCAGCATAGGCTTGGCATAGGCTGAATGAAGCATATGGATCAGTGGAATCTATCGGAAATTTACTGCTTTGAGGATTCAATCACGGTCACAGTTATCAAAGAGCCTGATACCAGGACTGTCCGACGTGTTCGCTGCATGGACACACCTGTCGTCTGCAGGGTCAGCGTCCTGCCGACTCCGTCCACGGCAGGCAGCGTCCACAGGCACGTGAAGAAGCTGAAGCCGAGCTCAGCCGTCGGCGCAGAGGACAGGGACGACGGTGAAGGCAGCGTCAGAGTGCCTGGAACAGTGCGGGGCGCGGGCTGTCTGCAGATGGGCGGCGGAAAATGTTTGAAAAACGTTTTAGGTAATGTCGTTTTCAGATTTTTATCTGCAGAAGAGCACTACATGCATGCTGGAGACAATATAGGTATTAGTCGAACTTCTGAAAGGCACCATGTGCTTCATGGGTACTTTTTTCGGACACGGACCGTAATGTGCATGTCCATTGTCCATTGTCAATTGCATATCGAAATTTGAAGAATTGGTAATAATTTTTTACGTCGTTGAAGCTCACAGCTGACAGCAGCCCTCATAAACTGCATAATGCCCACCGGTATTATAAATCACCTACTCGTACAAACTTTGCGGCAGCGGCGCTGGTCACTACTGAGAAGTGAGATTGATGAGAAACACATGAACGGGGGTACGTTACACACCTTATCCTTTCCATCAAGCTCATCCATCGCATTCCATCGCATTCCAAACTCATTCTATCGCATTTGCGGACCGATGTTATGTTCATCGTAAGGACTAAGAATCATCCTGACTTGAATTAAATAATTGTCAAAGCTCCCTGTCAAAGGCATACCAAACACATAAAAGAAAATGTCCCGAGTAAAAGGTTGCCATTGACCTCATAAGGCTCAATGCGGCCATTTATTTTATGAGGCCAAACCGTTTGCGCGGGTCACTGAATCTCCCGGTCGGGGTTTACGAACCGAGTCGGTGATATCAATCTGCGGCTAAACTGCCGACACTCCGTATCATTCTGACAGAGATCGACTCTGTGGCCGCGCTGAACGGTGCCATTTTCCCAAATGTCGTCAGGCCGATCCACTGCGATCGGTGATTTTAGCTGCCAGATGATGTTTCAATGATACATTCTCAGTATGGCACACATTAGCAGATTGAGCCGAAGGCGGCTAAAAAAGCGCTAGCGAGTGCCACTCTATTCGGAGTGATCGGGAACGATGAAGAACTAGGGGGAGGTTAATGTCCATTACACAACTTTTAATTTTGTGTATATAGCACAAAATATATAAATATATATAGTAACACAAATACATATACCGGGTGGCCCAGAAAAAAACGTTCCCAACTTTAACCCTCGCATGTGTGCGGCGTTTGCCAGCTTCTAATGTGTAGGGGGGGGGGGTCGGTTGGACCCCCCCTTGCCGTTTGGCCCCTGATCGAGCTAGAGCTTCGCGGAAAAAACGAGCGTGTTGCCCGTGACGAGAGGAAGCCGATGATACCCAATTTTAAGGTCCTAGGTCATTGGTTGACCTTCCAGGTCAGGTCAATGACCCAAAGTCGGGAAAATCGGGACCTGTTAGAAAGTCGTAAAGTGTGGCTGCTAAGGGGTTTTTCGGGGTGCTGATCACGAATATCGTGTTAGTTTTGATCACAGATGATGTCTTGAAGCATTTAGACCAGGTCGGGTCAGGTCAGGTCAGGTCAACCAGTAGGCGTCGTGACGGGTACTCGTAGTACGTGTCAACTGCCTCTGACAGCTTCGTAACATGTTACGAAGTCACCAAAACTACTTCGTAAATGTTCAAATGGTTGCTAAATTCGAATTCAGCTCCAAAAACTAGCCTAGAAACATGTAAAACTCGAAAAAGTGACCCGAGGTCACCCGAGGTCACCAAAGGTCAATGACCTGACCTGACCTTCAGGTGACCTTGACACACACGGGAGTAACATCAAATCACATGTTTGAACGTTTGAAACCACGAAAAGCTTGCAAACACGCGGCTAGTGCGAGCCGACATACGCGAAATCGCGATTCCGGCCAAACATGGTCTCGGAAAAGAGGTCACAGGTCAAAGGTCATTTAGGTCAGGGTCATGAAATTTTCAGGGTAGGTGTAAAATTGATCAATGCGAGGGTACTGAAAGTTTCGTCGCGATCAGCCGCTTTTTACGCGAGTTATTCGCGAAAAACCATGGGGGGGTCCATCCGACCCCCCCCCCTTCACATGCGAGGGGGGGGTCGGAATATTTCTCAGAAAGTGATAAAAATACAACATTGAAACTTCGAATAGTCAATGCGGCACACATTTTGAGTAAATGGTGTGATTTTCATGGTGTTCGGTAAATTACTTTTTAAACGGTTCGTGTTTCAAGCATGCCATGTAAAAATTACTTTTTTGCTCCGATGTTTACTAAATAATGTGAGTGAACGGGTCACTTTCACCCCGCAGCACCGCAGCCTAGAGCCATGACTTCTACTGGCAGCTAGTCTCATTGATGGTTCGGGTCTCAGGATGACACATTCGCTCAGGCAACGACGATGGCTCTGTGACAGCGGCATCGGAAGAAGTTTCCAGTTTTCTAACCATCTTGTGGCTCAAATGCTTTCCTGGCTGACATTCCTGAGAAAAGGTAGCTTTTCAACCAGTTTTTTTGTCATCTGCTGGCGATGTTGTTTTTTCATAAACTTTTCTGTGGTTTTCCGGCATAGGAACCAGTCTGCTTTAGTTTGTTTTCCTTATCCGGTCGTTTTATTGTTTGATCTACTGAAAGGAGGGTAATCAGCAGTAATCCATGCACCGTGCCACTCCTGCTCGAAACATGATTTGGTGTAAGGCATCCATGAGCACCATTTTGGCTCAGTATTTGAATATTTGGCACACAAGTGAGACAAAAATATTTAAAATAAGAACATACGTGTTGGTTTCATTCACGTGCTCTATTTTTATTCTTTTTTATAACATGGGACGTCTAACCCAATCATCACTATCGTTTGACATCGGCAAAAAAAGCAAAAACGTCTTGCTTAATTTAACTCAAGATTGCCAGCTTTAAATTGATAGTAAAGTGTTATAATTTCGCATACCAATGCGCAAAGAAATGACGCAAACTTGATGAAAATTTTGGCGCGTTATTTGCACTCGGATTTGATATATAGGCCTCCAAAGTTTGGAGCGTTTTTTCTGGGCCACCCGGTATAGTAACACATACGCAATGCGTTCTGGCTATTCTTGTATCAGGGCTGAGGGCTATACATTTACAGGTTTTGTCATCAATTTGAACGGCGGCGCTAAATTTAAAAACTAAATTGTTTTGATTCCAAAAGGTAACTCACTTATTTCTATGCTTATTTCAACAGTATGTGCACGTGGTTAAATGTAGCAGTGCAACGCAGTGGATCAATTGCAAATTACAAATAAAAGCACATTGTAATACAACATGCGACTTTTGACGGATGGAGTAGGTAGTCACCATAACCAAAATAGCAATGCAGCGCAATAAGTGAAGGCTTTCCTGCACAGCAATAAAGTCCTCTGGAGCCTACTATTTACCACTTTCTCACTTTGACTAATGCCAGGATGTTATTAACACCCTCTCGCCCACCGCCAGGCGTACCCCCTCCCCCCTCCTCCGCTCATCCACCCCTTGGATGCTATCCCCCCTCTCTTACCTATGCCGGTCTCGGCGGCAAGGCGCGGACACCCGGGCTCCTCGAACTGATAGTGCAGTGTGAAATTGGGCCCGACGGCGGCCCACATAAAGTGCGCCATGTTGTATGATGCCACGATGTTCACGTTGGTGCTGAGCGCGAGGGGCAGCGCCGCCTGGGGGGATGGAGGGGGGGGGGGGGGGTAAACAGACACACCGGACCGGACCCGTTAGTAATGCCGGGGGAGGGGATGCAGACAGACAGACAGACAGACAGACAGACAGACAGAGCGGAACCTTGAGTAGTGCCGAAGAAAGGTAAGACAGACAGACAGACTGCATGGGCGCGTTAATAAGCCCTGTGAGACCTCACTAACGCACAATTCAAGTGTTTTAATCGTGACTGGATATGACTATAAGAAGGGATATATTTTAAATGAAATTTGATATAACTGTAGACATGCATGCCTAAGTAGAAAAACCATATTTTCAAACATTGAGATGCTGGTATGAAGGTACTAGGTTAGTTTTTCGCAAGACCGGATGCGTTCCGCATCTGCCTTTTTGTCCCGGAGTGCTGATATGTCGACCCGATGGTGCTGCGTGTTTGCTTTGCGTTTTGCCGAGCAAACCTGCCTGATGCATTCGCCGACACATAACAGCAGAAACCTTTCCAATGCTCCCGCCTCTAAAAAGCCTGTGCATTACTATAAAGTGAATTAAAGTAATAGGTGCCAATGCATCACAGGTATGTGAGATTGTTGCCTCCGGAATTCGGAAAACACCGCAAGGTGTTCAAATACCCATTAGCGGGCACGGGTTTATTTCGACCTAAGAAGCATAGGCAATTGAGCATGTGATTAAAAAACAACGTAGCACAGAGGAATGCCTAAAAAGCCAACAAATCGTGGATCAATACTCACCGTAAAGTTACCGCAGAGACAGGCGATCGGTCTGCCATCTGTCGTCAGAAACTGGAGGTGGTCGACGTCACGGAGACGAACGAGGTCAACCAGGCAGCGGCACCGGTGACCCGAACACCGGGTCACACAGTGGTGGCTGGTCAGTCGCGCCGGCGATCCGTCCGGAGAGCTGACCTGGCCGCGGGTCAGGTCAGGGTCAGGTCAGGTCAGGTCAGATCAGGGTCAGATCAGGGTCAAGTCAGTGCTAAGGTTAGGTCAGGGTCAGGTCAGGGTCAGGTCAGGGTCGTGACAGGGTCAGGTCAGGTTCAGGTAAGATCAGCCAGCATCATTCGTTCGCGAAAATGAAAACACATCTTTTGTGAACGCTATTCTAAACAGATAAACACACTATTATCTCCTGGCTCCGATATAACTCAAAAGTGTTATCAATGGTACGTGTTCTCGCCAACGCTCAACGAGCGTATACTCTGTTCGCAGTCCCCGTTAGGTATGTACGTCACGTGTGCTCACCTGAACTGCCAGCGTTCGGCCTCGTACTCTGAACGTGTGCCGGCAGGAGAGCGGGCCCTCCAGGTCCCAGAGCAGAGGCACACCCTCCGGCATGGTGACCTGACCTGACCTGGCGCTGACCTCGGCGTCCGTCTGGGCGTGACACAGCTGCTGAGAGGTCAGGTGGCCTTCGCTGTCCGCTGGGGGTCGGGGAGGATCAGGTCAGCGATTATCCAGAAATTTACATACCTACATTTCTCAGCTCGGCGTCAGATGTGAGCCACTCTTACGAGTTTATCGTCGTATAAAAGCAACTGCATCGCTTTACCAAGGAAGTGTGCGTCCGTATACTACTGTATTGCTGATATGGAGTAGTCTATAATGCGTCCCATTGCATTTTACAAAAAAAAAAAAATGTTACAGCTGCACACTCACAGACATTTTAACTTTTCGGTGAAAACACGAAACGCTCATTCACTGCGTTTACCCCTGGGCTCGAGTCTACCCACCATTATGGAACAGGTAAGCTCCCTCCACGAAATCTCCGCTGTTGGGCGCCGCCCTGGGGCGAAATACGATCAGCATCTTGTTTGATGATGACCAGATCTTCTGTGCCACTGAAGCTCTGACAGCAAAAGATGCTTAGGTTATCAGTCCTGAAGAAAATCGTCTGAAAAAATCATTTTGTCCGATGGTTTATCAAACAGGTTACGGGACTTAAACTCAGCATCGTAAAAACCGGCTGAGCTGATAGCAGCTAAGGATCGGTAGGCTATTGAGCATCAGTCTTGGAATTGTAAAATTGGTTAATTTTTCAGGAACAAATTAAATTGTTATTGAAAATAAATGAGTGACACAAAAATAAAGGGATGAGTTCGGTAATTACCGTATCAATAATTTGACAATCCAGTGACACATATCTTAGGTACAGGCTGCATAATTTTCTAGTTAATTTTGGTGATTATATAGGTAATAAGCAAAAACAGACGCCAAAATTGCAAACGTGATTCTATGCTGTGACTCTATGTTGTGGCTATGTTGTGAGTGTGCCGCTGTGACTCCATTTTGTGTCTCTTCATTGGTACTCTGTGTTGTGATTGGATGTTGTGACGCTGTGTTGTGACTATGATGTG